AAAAGCAACTTAGGGAGGAAAGGGTTTGTTTCACTTACCCTTCTATATCACAGTCCCTAAGAGAAGTCAGGACAGAAACTCAAGGTTGGAGCCTGGAAACAGGAACAGTGGCAGGGAAGGATACTGCCTTTGCTTCACTCCCCATGACTCGCTTAACCTGCTTTCTTCAACAACTCAGGACCACCTGCCCCGGAACTTACAGAGCAATGGGCCCTCCTATATCACTCATTAATCAAGAAAATGCCCCACTGGCAGTCTGGTGGGGGCATTTTCTCAGTTGAGGCTCCTTCTTCCCAAATAAATCCAGTTTGTGCTATGTTGACAACAGACTAGACAGTCTAGAAGTCACTGTAGTCCAGACCAATTTGGAACTTGGGAACTTGTGACTACTCCCTTCCCTCCACCCCCAGAACACTTAAGGGCTTCACAGTTCTGATTGCTTTTTCAGCACGTGGTGTAGGAGGACATGGTTATCCAGATAACCTTATACATACCTGTAATCCCAGGCCGTGAGAAATGCAGGGAATCATACCTGTTCAAGCCAGCCTGGGCTATAAAATGAAAGTCTGTCTTGAACAAATCACTTAAAAGAAAAAACAAGCCAGACGTGGTAGTGTACACCTTTAATCCTAGGGATGCAGGGGCAGGTGGATCGCTGAGTTTGAGATCAGCCTGGTCTACAGAGTGAGTTCATCTGCTAATATTTACATGGAGAACTAGTTGATTTTTTTTTTTTTTTAGCTTTATTTATATAGTGTTTTGTCTGCATGTACACCTGCAGTCCAGAAGAGGGCGCAAGATCTCATTACAGATGGTTGTGAGCCATCATGTGGTTGCTGGAAATTGAACTCAGGACTTCTGGAAGAGCAGCCAGTGTTCTTAACCACTGAGCCATATCTCCAGCCCAGTTACATTAAGACTGAAAATAAAGGCCAGGTGTAGTGTCTCAACCTTTCATTCCAGCATTTGGGAGGTAGAAGAAGCCCAGTCTCTGAGATCAAGGCCAGCCTGGTATACATAGTAAGTTCTAGGCCAGCTAGAGCTACACAGTAAGACCCTATCTTAAAAACAAATAAGCAAACAAGCAAAATTAAAAAAAAAATCAAACTCCTAAAGTGTGTTAGCACACACAGACACACATGCATGTACACACACTCTATGTGTATATCTCTGTAAAACGAATTCCTTTTAGAGGCTAAGAGACTCTTAGAAGCTAAGTAACCACCCAGTGATTAATGAATTGACGAAGCTGGGGTTTGAATCTTCTGAGTTTGCTCACTGCTGGGGTTGTGCGCATGCACTGAAACATATGGAGGAAGCAGCAGCTGCAAGAGAGCAGTGTTTTCAGTGGGTGGTAGTGGGTAGGTGGATGGCAGGTCAGGGTGTTTGCGTGCTTCCGTTACAGCATTTACACAGTAGTAGTTTCACGTCACTAGCTGCTTGTGGTGGTTTATCGTGAGACTCCAGATTCTTTTAAAAAGTCAGGTTAGGCATCTGTATTTTATAAGTTGCTTTTTATTTCATAGCTTTTATTTCATAGCTGCTGTATAAATACTGGAATACGACTGTGCCTCCAGCTGGAAGGACGAGTTGTCCTTGAAGAATCTGGTCCAGCTTGTGTTCTAGGATTCGTTTTATGGGCTTAGTAGGGATGGTAGCAGTGTGCAGACTGAATGGAGGAGAAGCCAGTATCCATTGTCTTCTCATCCTCTGAGACCTCACTGCCAGTGTCTATTAAATGTGGGGGTATGAGGATAGCAGTGGGAGCCAGGGTTTGACTTAGACTTGCCACAGACAAAGAAATGCTTGAGGGTGGTTAGTGTTGGTGAGGTAGAATGTCACTGGAGTACAGTTAAAGATGTCTGTTGTGTGCCTAGATGTGCTACTCTTTAACTTTGGACCAGGATCTCTGAGCCTCAGGTTCCTCATTGACATTGTGAGGAGAACAAGTTTCAAGGCCAGTGCAGGCTCTTGTCTAAAGATGGAAATTAATTTTACCCACGGCCTGAGTTTCAGCTGAGATAATTGCTGAATTTCCCCCTTCTGCCCTCCTGAGTCATCTGAGTGACGATTCTTGGGACCCCAGGAAGACTGTATGCTCATCTAAGGCAGGTGCCATCCTGTTCATTTCATCTCTGACTGCACCCTAGGAGACACACTGATGGAAGCACCTGGTGCTGGAAGTAGGCTAGAATACCTTTTCCTTACTCGAGAGTTGACTGTGTCTGTTCTGAAGCCCATTAACCTTCCCTTTTGGGAGAGGCAAAATTAAGGTCTGTTATTATCTCTAAAGACGATAATGTGGCCCTGGAGCTTCAGGATTGAGAAGTTATTTTGTCTTAATTTACAGCAGCAAGGTGGTTTGAGCCCTAACTTCCAGATGTTCTTGTTAAGTTTTTCATATAACTGTGCTCCTTAATAATGCCATGCAGTGTGTGATTGCTCAGCCTGTTTTGTGGTATCCTGGAGCAAATGTCAATCAAAGTGCCTTAAGTGAGACAGAAAGAAAAGGTTTGCTTTTATTTTTATTAAAAACAGAAAGTCTTGGGCTGGAAAGTTGGTCCAGCGATTAGGAGCACTTGGCGTTCTTACAGAGGACACAGGTTCTTTCTGTGGTGACTACGAGGTGACAGATGATCATCTGTGGCTCCAGTTCTAGGTGACCAGTGTCCTCCTTTGACCTGTCGAGGCACCAGGCATGCATTCAGTGCATGTACATCAAACAACATACCCATTCCTAAAGGAATGTAAAATAATTTTTTAGAAAGGGAATTACTTTATCTGGGACCATTTTCACAGAGAACAAATTTCTTTGTGAACTTGGTTAAGTGCTTTCTATCTCTAGTCTTCTCTCATCTCATTTGAAAGATGACAGGCTGGGGCCAGCTAATGTCTTTGTTGCTTTGGGATTTCACCCTGCTCATGAAGTTGGACTCCTGGCAGTCTTCCTGCCTCGTGCTTACTCCCCATCCTCCTATTCCTCATGTTAGCTCTGCAGGTGTGCGCCACTGTGCCTGGCTGGACCACTAATATCTAACATCTTTCTTTTTAAAAATATTTATCTTTATTTTGTGTGTATGGGTGTTTTGTTTGCATGTTTCTGTGCCACAGGCCTGCATTGCCCTTGCAGGCCTGAAGAGGGCACTGAATCTCCAGGAACTGAAGTTACAGATGGTTGTTACCCCCTGTGCTGGGAACAACAGCTGTTCTTAAACACTGGGGCATCTCTCCAGCCCCTTTAATATCTTTCTTAAAGCCCTTCTGGCTCCACCTTGTCATGGTTTGGTAATTGTACTATTTTTTTGTTTGCTTGTTTGTTTTTGTTTTGGAACTTTTTGATCCTTTCTTTCTCATAGCTTGTTCCTCCTCTGTATACACCAGGAGTATAGAACTTTAGGTTTATAACCCTTCCTTCATGGTGTAGCATAGAGAATTAGTTCAGGTATCCTGTCCCTGTAAAAATGAGTAGAGAGGGGCCAGCAAGATAACTCAGTGGGTAAAGGCACTTGACACCAAGCCTGACCACCAGAGTTTGATCCCTAAAATTAACTGATGGAAGGAGAAAACTAACTTCTCAGAGTTGTTTCCCGACCTCCATACACACGTGATATGGCACACATGTATACGCATAACACAAAATAAAAGTGGGTGTTTGTTTTAAATGCAACGGGCTGGAGAGATGGCTCAGTGGTTACGAGCACTGGCTGCTCTTCCAGAAGACTCTGGTCTGATTCCAAGCACCCACATGGTATCACACAACCATCTGTAGCTCCAGTTTTAGAGGATGTAATACATGCTTCTAGTTTCTGTGGGCTCTGCAAGCACATGGTATACAGACATAGAAAACCTAAACCATACACATAAAAGTAATAAGATGTTTCTTTTCTAAATGTGAATGTCTTTAATCCCAGCACTCAGGAAGCAGAGGCAGGCATATCTCTGGCCTACATAATGAGTTCCAGGCCAGCCAGACCTACAGGGTGAGACCCTGCCCCAATAACACACAGAAAGCCAGTTATAGTGACTCGTGCATACATTCTAGCACATGGGATTCTGAGCCTGGGGATTGCCGTGAGTTTCAGGTCAGCCTGGGCTACAGTCTGAGACCCTGGATTGAAACAAAACACCAAAAATATAATAAATAAACAATGATAAATAAAGAGGAGAATGAAATTCTAAAAATATTTATACCATCTAATATTGAAGTGAAGCAGGAGACTTGGGGCTCCAGGGACCCAAATTCTGCCCCCAGCTTGGTTCCGCCAGTCTTAATCTTCCTGTACTTCCTCATCTTGAGTTACAAGGCATCAAAAGTGACACCCTGTTGAATGTGCGTCCTGTGCTAGACTCCAGTGCCAGGTACACAGTGCTTATCTTTTGCTACCTATAACAGCAATTGGGAACAAATGGAGTTTAGGCCCCAGGTAGGAAATGGCAAAGTTAGGATTAGAAGCCACACCTGCCACTGCAAAGCCCTCACGCTTTCTCTTGTCTCCCCTGCAACATAGGATGTTCCCATTCCTAGTTGTCGCCAGGAGAAAACAGGATGTCAGACATTGCAGCTGTCACATTGCCTTTGGCCCTTACAAATCCAGGAGCAACTCTGGTGAAAATTAAGAATGAGTTCAGATTCCAGGGCTGGTACTCAGGAGTTCTGGGCTGGGGTTGTCCCTCCGTGCATCCGCTTATTCTCTGTCGTATGTGAATGACAGTGTCAACTCTGTACAGTCATGAGGGGTTTTTGAAGTATTTGTAGTGAATATGGAAATGTTAGTGAGCATCTTGTTGAGTCCTTTTGTTGTGATGAAGCTAAAACAGTGATTGCCTGAGGTGGAGGGATAAAAGGTTCTGGAAAGAACACAGTTTAACTTCATGCTCGGCCTTGCCCACACAGTGAGTTGGAGGCCAACCTGCATTACCTGAGATCCTCTGTCGAAAATATAAAGAGGAAAGGTTGGTTCTCAGTTGTGCAACATTGATTTTTCATTTTGTCTTTATAGGTTGCTATGGTGACAGACTATGGAGCCTTTATCAAAATCCCAGGCTGTCGGAAGCAAGGTGGGAGCCCACAATGGGGAATTCAGCACTTCCACTGCACTCATTCCACTGTGGTCCCACCACATTCTCACTATAGGACTTCAGGTTTTCAGATAGTCGCTGGCTTTACTTTATTTTCAGTGTAGCAGTAGGGATAAAGAGTTCTGTGTTCATGAGTGTCTGCCTATGAGTATGTGTGTAGGTGCACTGTACGTGTGCCTTGGTCTCAGGCTTACCAAGAGCAACTAACTGAGCACTAAATTGACATTTGTTCTTAAAGACTGGAGAAGCATTTTAGCAGTATGTAGTGGCCCAGGCTTGTAATCCTAGCACCCAGAAAGTGGAGGAAGGAAGGATGCCACAAGTTAATGAGCAGCCAAAGACTCCATAGTGAGACTCTGTCTGTAAAAACAAACAACAGCAGGAAAAGGGAACTAAGGAAATGGCACTGAGAACCTGAGGAATTGAGCCCAAATCTCCAGAACCCACATCAAAAGCCAGGCACAGCATACATTCTTGTAAACCTAGCATTGGAAGGCAGAGACTGGCTAGCCAATCTAGTCTCAGTGAGAGACCCTGACTCAGGGCACTGCAGCAGAGAGTGATAGAGTAAGAACCCTGATGACCTGCTGTGACCTCTGCATGCACGTGTGCACCTGCACACATACTGTCACACCACCCATTGCAGTGGGTCTGAAACCAGCTGGGGCTACGAGACCCTGTCACAGAAACAAAAATCAGGGTCAGTGAGATGTCTCAGTGGGTAAAGGCAACTGCCACCAAGCCCTCTGGAGGACTTGAGTCCAATATCCTGAATCCGCATGGTAGAAGTAGAGAATTGACTCTTGCAAGTTGTCTTCTGACCTCCATAAGTGCCCCCCACACATAAAAATTAGTAAAAAAACATGTAGTGTCAAAGGCCCCACATTGGGCACCATCTGTCGGAAACTCATGTTCCAGGGTAGGAGCATGAGGATTAGAATATTAAGCAAAAGGAGCAGAGGTCTAAGAGAAATAAGAAGCAGAAACACAGAACAGCATTGGGAGGGGCCTTCAGTGGGTACTGAATCCCCTTCGGTTATTTTCCACAGGCTTATATACTTCACTCCTAAAGGGGAGGAGGGAGGCCACAGACTTAATTAACATGATATAAGGAATAGACTTGAATGCACCAACTTTGCTCCTGGTGGAGCGAATCTACCTCTAACACAAAATGCTAACTAACCACACCCTAGGTCAGAATCTCTCCTGTGTAGCCACGTCTGTTGTCAGTAACTTTGTAAGCAAAAATAGGCTCAGACTTTCTGACTTCCAGTCAAGGTGGAGCAGACTCACATCTGTGGGTCCCCACAATGTATTAAAAACAAACCAGTAAAAACTATAAAGCTGGGCATGGTAGCATACACTTTGACTCAGCATTCATGAAGCACAGGCCATCCAAGGTTACGTAGTGAGAGACCCTGTCTCAAGAAAATCAAACTACAAAAATGCATACATGAGACAAGGCAATCTCAATTTATTGACGTGGCAAAATTTCTAAATTACTAAGGATTTTCAAAACCAGCTGTAGAGTATTTGTGTGATGTGCCCCTCCCTTACCCTTTTGAAGAGGATGTACCCATGTCTCTGTATTTTAAGTGATTGTGTGTGTTCAGAAGACTATTGAACAAACACCTCCCAGTGTCCTCCTGTGGTAGTTGACTTGCTGAGAAGAAGGCACAGGAGAGGGATTTTTCACTTCTTGGAGTCTTTTATAGTTTTTTTCAGTCAGAAGGCTGTGTAGATCTGTGGCTCATAAAGCTGTGCCATTAGCCTTGGAGCCCACTGTTCTGGGCATCCCATCCTCGCAGTAAGTGGCTAACCAGTGCTTTTCAAGCTGGCAGTCAACGGGCTCTAATTAAGTTCCTGTTTTATGCTGCCTGGGACTTAGTGAGGTGGAGCTCGCCCCACCCTCCAGGATCACACCTCTGTCTGCCTAGAGACAGGTTTTCTTGTTAGTGTACTCGTCATGGCCGCCAGTGCCAATTTCATGTGAGCCTTTATGTGACACTTTGGGGACTTTGTGGAGATGAAAAGCCTGCTACCTTTCAGCAGTCAGTTTTCACCTCGCTTGTCTGTTCCCTGTCAGATAATGCCTGTGATAGTGGCTGACAGCTTACACGTGGATCTGTCGGTCTGACAGCTGTGGCAGTCACAGCGAGAGCTCAGGGAGCCAGATAATGAGGAGGGAACTGGGGGCTTTAACTCTAGCATTTTGTGTAGGCTTTGTGGATAACTTGGGCGGTTGACTCCCCTACGGTGTGTCTAGTGTCTCAAGGGAGGATATCATTAGGACCCATCGTGAAAGGACTGAGCAATGAGGTAGCTGTGGTCTGATTAGAATGTAATGCTTTAGTTTGGGGAGATGCTAATTTGAATTATTTTCTGAGAACTCTTTAACCACTGTTGAGTTGAAGACCTCTTCCTAATATCCAGATCAAACTAAGTTTTCCATTTTTTTCTTTTTTTGGTTTTTCAAGACAGACTTTCTCTGAAGCTTTGGAGCCTGTCTTGGAACTAGCTTTTGTAGACCAGGCTGGCCTCGAACTCACAGAAATCCGCCTGCCTCTGCCTCCCGAGTGCTGGGATTAAAGTCATGAACCATCACTGCCGGCCAAGTTTTCCCTCCTTTTTTTTTTTTTTAACATTCATTTGTTTGTTCTGTGTATGCAAATGTGGCTTTGGGAACATGCCATAACATTTATGTGGAAGACAGAGTACAGCTGGGGATGCTCTCCTTCTGCTCTGTGGGTCCCAGGTTTGAACACAGGGCATCAGGCTCGGTGGCAAGCACCTTACCCACTGAAGCATCTTTCTGGCCCTGACCTTGGGTCTCTAGTGTTCCTCGGAGCACTATATGTCCTAGTGGTAATGCTACAAATCTGTTTTATTTAATTTTCTCACACATAAATTCTCAAAATTTTCTAATTTTGCATTTCTCTGGACACCAACAAAATATCCAGCAACTTTCAGTTCAATTCTGACCTTATCAGCCCTGAATTAGTATCAGATCCCATAGTTAAAGGGGCTCTATCCCACAAAATGGTCACCCCTCAGGTGCTCCTAAAGATGACCAGCCAGTTCTAATTTGGAGATTTCCATGACTGTTGTAATAGGAGCGGGCTACATTCCTGGCACCCAGCCACTTGCACGGCTAGCTTTATACCCAAAATAATTACATGGAAATTGTATTCTTTTGAACACTGCCTGGCCCATTAGTTCCAGCCTCTTATTGGCTAACTCTCAAATCTCGATTAACCCATTTTTAGTAATCTGTGTAGCCCCACGAGGTGTGGCTTACCAGGAAGATCTTAACCTGCGTCTGTGTCCAGTGGGAGAATCATAGCGACTGCCTGACTTGGCTTCTTTCTCCCAGCACTCTGTTCTGTCTACTCCGCCTACCTAATTTTCTGTCCTATCAAAGGGCCAGGGCAGTCTCTTTATTTAACCAATGAATTAACACAAAACAGAAGGCTCTCCCCCATCACATGACCCTCTCCTTAAGTTTGGTAATTTACTAGAGTAGACCAGGTGTGATCTATACCTGTAATTCCAGCACATGGGAAATAAAGGCAGAGGAATCAGAAATTTGGGCCAGCCTTGTCTACATAATAAATTGGAGGGCAGCCTGGGCTATCTGATACCCTGTTTTAAAAACCTGTTGAACAGAGCATGGTGCGGCACTCCTTTAATCCCAGTGCCACTCAGGAGGCAGAAGCAGATCTCAAAGTGTGAGGTCAGCCTGAGCTGCATAATAAGTTCCAGGCCAGCCAAGGCTACATAGTAAGACTGTCTCAAACAAAGACCCAAACACCAAAGCAAAAGTTCACAGAAATCAGGAAAACAGTTTCCTTACTGTTGCTGTTTGTGATGAGATGAGAAGAGTTCAGTAGCAAACAATGGAAGGGACATGTAGGACTGAGCCGAGTGGGGTGACAGTGTTGGTGCTCTCTATGTCTACCCAGCCTTGCACACTCCTCCCCAGCCCCAGCACTACACAGATCTCTGAAGGGCTCCCTTGCTCCCCATTCCCTAAGCAGGACTTCAATGGCTGGGGCTGAACGTCCCAACCTCTAGTCACTTGATTCTTCCTGTGACCATCCCCATCCCATCCAGAGACTGTCCAGGGACCTGCTGCTCTGTCACCGTATTAGCATGAACGCCAAAGGGGATTCTTATTTTTTAAAAAATATTTATTTATTTATTATGTATACAATATTCTGTCTGTGTGTATGTCTGCAGGCCAGAAGGGGGCACCAGACCTCATTCCAGATGGTTGTGAGCCACCATATGGTTGCCGGGAATTGAACTCAGGACCTTTGGAAGAGCAGGCAATGCTCTTAACCTCTGAGCCATCTCTCCAGCCCCAGGGGGATTCATATAACTAGTAAAGGTGTTCCTGTTACTAGATAGTCATGTTTTGTGGATTCTTTGTTGGAAACAAGGACAAAGACCAAAACAATACACACTCACATACATATATACTCACACTCACTCTTAAACACACATATACACAGACCCAACACATATATACACACATACACATTCTATTCACACATACATACACATACATTCAAATGTGTACTTTTTATTTTTATTGACATACGTGGGTATCACGGTGCACATGTGGAGGTCAGAGGACAGGTTTTGGGAGGCAGTTCTCTTTTTCCACCTTATGTTGTTTCTTATTTCTGGTTGGCTGCATCCTAGCTGGCTTGTTAGCTTCCAGGCGACTCCAGTCTCTGCCTCCCATTGCATTGTGGGAGTGCTGGGATTACAGGTGCGAGCCGATGCATTTGGCCTTTTGTGTGTGGGGTTCGGGGATGGAGCTCAGGTCCTCAAGCTTGCTGCCATTTGTAATTTTGTGAGGCTAGATCTCACACTGCCTGCTAGGATGGCACTCACAGTGGTCAGCCTACATAGGCTACGAGGGATGTGTTTTTTGTTATGCGCCACCCCACCCAGCCAAATGTATTTCTGTG